TGCACAGTTTGGGCAGACAAGATGGTAAGGGAAAGAGTTCCCCCTCTTTCTCCTACCTCCCAACAAAACCCCCAACTTCAAGCATTGGTCTTCTACCCAGAGAGCACCCATTCTGTGCTGAGCACCGAACAGGACTTTACTACAAGCTCTTGAAAGGTTGAGGCAGGAGGATCTCTGGGAGTTGGAGAGCTGGGTTACAGAGTGAGTTTCAGGACAGACAGCCAGTCTCAAAAACAACACATAGACAACGAAGGGTAGTGATGATAGGTGGCATAGGTGTGTGTAAGTGCTGTGTGCCCAGAACATTCCAGCTACTTCCCGGTTCATTGTTAAGTGAATGATTATGTCCCCTGAGAGTCAGCGCTACTGTGTCCCCAATTTTACTGTTAGGAAACTGAGGCCAGAAAAGAGGTGTGATGGAGTATCCAAAGCCATACAGGCTTCCTTTTTTTTTTCTTTTTGTTGTTTGTTTGTTTTGTTTTTAAAGTCAGGTTTCTCTGTGTAGCTTTGGAGCCTAGCCTGAAACTCGCTTTGTAGACCAGGCTGGCCTCAAACTCACAGAGATCAGTCTGTGTCTGCCTCCTGAGTACTGGAATTAAAGGCGTGCACCACCAGCACCCAGCTGTCAACCAGACTTTCAATAACAAAATTCACAGTTCACTTGGGATTGCCTGTCTGCTCTGTATGGAAGTCCCCAGCTGGAGCTTGAGGGAATCCAGGACAGAGGGAATGAGGTGTGGACAGCCCAGCTTTCAGAGATAGACACTTGAGAGCATCCAAAGGGAACCTAGGAGAGATAGTCATCTTGATGTAGCCTGTCAGTGCAGCACCTGAGTGACTGAGGCAGGAGGATTATGAATTTGAGGCCAGCCTAGGATACAAGGCTAAGCTGCATCAAAAAAAGTAAGGGGAGGGGGGATAAAAGAAAGAAAGTGAATTGAGCAGGGGTCCAATGATGGATGAGAAGTTTCCCTGGGCTGAGGAGGGGGGTTAATTACCTAATAGGCTTAATGGTCTGATTAGGCCATTTTAAGAGGATTGCCTTGGGCTCAATAAAACCCATTTATTCTTGACTTCCTCCTTATACTTAGATGGCTAAGTCCAGCCACTGTACCCCACACCACTATACAAAACTTAGTAGGAACCCAGAACCCTCACTCTGAAGGACCCATGCTGAGGAGGAAAGAATTTAACACCTACCCATCCAGATCAGCTTTCTATAGTTTGTGCAACACTAGGAGTGGAACTCAGGACCTGGAACGTGGTAGGCAGATGCTCCATACTGATGTACTACTCTAGGCAAGTCTCTGAGCCATGAGCCACTGAGTCATGCCCCAGCCCCTCACTGGGGGATTCTAGGCAGGGGCTCTACCTCTGCCCCCAGCCTCTCACTTGGGGATTCTGGGCAAGTGCTCTACCACTGAGCCACACCTCCCAACTACAAATAACAGTTCTTTTATCTGCTCTGGGAGGCAGCTTTGCTCACCCTACTACCAGTTGAGGCTTCATGTTTGATGGTAAAATTAGACATCCTATACTTAAAAGAAAAAGTTGAAATCCCTGGGGAACAAGTAAGGCTCTTAAGCCTTAGAAGCAGAATGGCTTCCTTTCTTTTCCCACTTTTATCCCCAGCCTACTGTGTGCTCTTACACAGTGCAAGGGACACAGAGGTGCGCTCCGTTGATGTGGTTCATGTTGGCCCTGTGTGACAGAGGACTCTGGGTATATGAAGCAAGGTGTGGGGGGGGGGGACGACTCTCCGTTCTCAGTGTTCCAAGAAAGGTTGTGAGAATAAACAGTTGCAGTGAAGCCCGCAACTGACAAGATAGAGAGGAAGTGCCAGGCAGAGGACACCCGCAAAGGCCTTGGGGTGGGAAGGAGCAGGTAATAGTCGAAGAAGAAGTAAAAGAACAGTGACTCTGGTGCCCATGGGTGATGGGAAGCAAAGTTGAGTAGCAGGGTGTGTCACCAAAGGCCTCCTGCTGCAAAGGCTGTAGTTTAGAAGCTGAGAGTTAGGTTAGAGATTTGCCTTAAGGATGTGGTAACTAGATGTTTTATGCATGGCTGCATTACCAAGGACATTGGTCTCTAAGAATAAATGCCCAGAGGTCAGCAAGATGATTTAGCAGGAGCCAGTTAATCCCAGCACTTGGGAGGCAGAGACAGATGGATCTCTGAGTTCAAGACCAGCCTGGTCTACAGAGATTGGGATAGCCAGGGCTACACAGGGGGGAAATGGCCTAGCAGGTAAAGATGCTTGCTGTCAAGCCTGATGACCGTAGTTCAGTCCTCAGGGTTCCCCACAGTGAGAGGAGAGAACTGACGCCCACAGTTGTTCTCTGGTCTGTAACTTAGCCCACACAATGATTGAGTTTCAAACCAATGAGGCCTCTCTTAAAAAACGACAGCATCCCGTGCTAGCCTCCTGTCAGTGCATATGTGCAGACACACCTGCAGACATGTATGCGTTCCCCAACCATGTACGAAGTGAGAATCCTCAGTCCAGCCCTCATCCATTTCCTCGGTCATGGCTCCCTAAGTCAGCCCAGTGTCCCTCACCTCTGGTAACACAGCCTCCTTCACCCCCATCCATGCAATCTGCTCCTGTCACCAGCATCACAGGAACATTCTTGTTTTGTCTTGTTTTTGAGATGGGGTCTCATATAGCACAGGCTGACCTCAAACACACTGTGTAGCCGCGGAGAGCCCTGACCTCCTGCCTTTGCCTCCCGGGTGCTGGGTTCATAGGTGTGCACCACCACACTTGATTTCTGTGGTACTGGGGGTTAAGCCTAAGGTTTCAGGCATGCTAGGCAAAGCACTCTGCTGTATCTGTAGCCCATAGGCAGGCATGGTGGCACATACCTTAATCCCAGAACTTAGGAGAGATGCAGTTGGATGTCTATGAGCCTGGTCTACACAGTGGTTTCCAGGACAGCCAGGGCTATGTAATAGAGAGACACTGTCTCAAAATCATGTTTTTGCTTATTTATTTACCTCTGTGTGTATGCACGTGCATGCACACGCACCAGAGAACATCTTGTAGGAGTCAGGTCTCTCCTTCCACAGTGTGTGTCCTGGGAATTAAACTGAAGTCATCAGACTTGGCAGCAAGCTCCTTTTGCCACTGAGCCATCTTGCTGGCCCCAGAGAAATGTTCTCAAATCCCAAATTAGTTCACACCCCCTTGATCTTCCCAGCCTGCTCGGAGTAAGAGCCAAAGACATTACCGTGGCTCACCAGCTTCCCACTGCACCAGCACCCTCTTCCCTCCCACCTGACTGATCACCTCCTTGATTTTCCTAAGGACTCACACACCATCCTCTCAGGTTCTTCCCTTTTGCTGTGTGGCTCACCTCCTCTATTGTACCTCAGTGATAACAGCCCATGACATGGACTCCAGAGCCAGGCCGAGTTCACATTCCAGCTCTGTACCCTACCCAGCTCAGTGACTCCGGGATGATTCCTTATTAACCTCGTTTCTTTATCCGTAGAATGGGTTTCTTTACAGGGCCAGTGTGAGAATCAAAGTAACCGATGTTTGTGAAGTACTTCCAGTGGAATTGTTTGGCAGGTGCTGCAGAGGAATGAAGAGGAAATATGCCTACTCAGACTGGGTCTGATGGCCAGAGGACTGTCATCTCAGTTCTCTGAAAGCTGAGGCAGGAGAGTTAATCCCCAAGTCGAGTGGTTGCAAAGGTTACAGAGTGAGTTCAAAACCAGCCTTAGGCAACTTGGTGAGACCCTGTCCCAAAAATTTTAAAGGTGACTGGGGCACAGCTCAGTGGTAGAGCCCCTGCCTAGAATCTCCCAGTGAGGGGCTGGGTGTGAGGTTTAGTAATAAAGTACTTGCAAGAGACCCTCAATTCAATACCCAGTACCCTAAAACAGTAAGTGTGTGATAGTGTTAAGAATATGCATTTGCTGCCCTAGCTGCCCTTTGTGAGGAGCTACTAACTCTGAGATGAAGTGAACTCTTCCTCCCAAAGCTGCTTCTGGTCATGGCCTGTCTCAGCAATAGAAAGCAAAGAAGGACAGAACACATCTACCAAATACTGTGTATCAATATGCTAGAGAAATAAGAACAAAAGAAAAAAGAAAAAAAAGAATATGCATTTGGGGGAAGGCCTTTCCTGGCCTTCCTCTCTGATCTTGCACTTCTCTATCCTCCCCACCCCTTTTCCTGCTTCTTTTTGCTTGTACTACTTCCTCCCATCCTGCACGAACCATAGAGTCTCTGCTCTCGAGAAGAACATGATTGTCTGAGCTCTAGCTTAGATTATTCAAATTTTCATGACCTTATTTGCACACAAAATGCGGGGAGCTTTTGCTGTTTCCTTCATGGCTGTTTCCACACACTCGTGCCAAGTATGTACACAAGCAGGTGTTCAGCGTTTGTTGAACGAATGAATGAGTCCTGGGGACGCGGCTCAGTTGACAGAGTGCTCGCCTGGCAGGCGTGAGGCCGTGGGTTCCATCCCCAGCACCGTCTGAATTAGGTGTCATGCTGCACTCCTGTGATCCCAGTACTTGGGAGACATAGACTTGGGGAATTCAAGGCCATCCTCAACTATGTAAATTGAAGCCAGCCTGGCCTATGTGAGAGTCTGTCTCAAAAAAAAAAATAAATAAATAAATCGAATGTGGGTCAGGCATGGTGACCTTTAATCTCAGCACTGGGGAGACAGATGCAGGCGGATCTCTGTGATCTTGAGACCAGCCTGGTCTGCAGCATGCGTTCCAGACCTCCCAGGGCTGCACAGAAAAACTTGGTTGCAAAGAAGAAAAAAAAAAAGATGGAATGAGTGAGCAAGTGAAGATGGTTCTGTGCTGTCTTTCTGACGCCTGCTGTCATGGTCGTTGTGATTTCCTTGGTGGGACCCATGCTGGGATCTTCCTGGAGGTGCCTTCCTAAAATGGGACCCTTCCCTCCCTCCTTCCCTCCCTCCCTCCCTCCCTCCCTCCCTTTCTCCCTTCCTTCCACCCTGTATGCCCTGCAGAGGAAGGCGAGTACTTCCTGAAGGTGCTCATCCCCAGCTACGCAGCCGGCTCCATCATTGGCAAAGGTGGCCAGACTATCGTGCAGCTGCAGAAGGAGACAGGAGCCACCATCAAGCTATCTAAGTCCAAAGACTTCTACCCAGGTAAGCCCCAGACACGCCAGTTACCTGAGCTAGACCTCTCTCCTCTCTGCTTTCCTGAGCCCTGGGTGTGAGGAAGATTGTGCTAGAGATAGTTAGAGTAACGGAGGGGGCCTGCCTTTCCTCCCCATAAAAAGTCTGAGCAGCCTGCAACCCAAGGGGCCTGGCCTGAGCAGATGGGGGTGGGGGCAGGGCCAGACAATGAGCTGCTGCATATTCATGACCTCATTTGCATTATGCCAGGCAGTTGTGTCCCTTCCCACACACCTGCCGCCTCCGGTCAGTTGGAGCAGCCAGGGTGGGGAGGGTGGCAGGTGTCGTGGTACTGGGCGGGAGCAGCCATCTGAATTACTCATACCCCTCTGTCCATTGGACTTGTTACCCTAGCTTGCATCCAGTTTAGTCTCCTCTGAGTTGTTTTGAAGAGGGGGCACTTTTTTATTTTTTTCTTTTCTTTCATTTTTTCCCCATTGATGTGGTGCTGGAACTTCCTTATGTAGCCAAAATTGACCTTGAACTCCTAGTGCTAGGATTACAGATGTGTGCCCCGCCATGCCTGGTTTGTTTTCTTGGGGCATTTTGAAGAGAGACTGTCTCCCCCTGTAGCCCATTCTGGCCTGTAACCTCCAGTCCTTCCCTTATGGCCCAGTGCTGGGATCACAGACACACCGGCCACCATGCCCTGCCTGATGCTTCTCACACAGCTGCTTCTGCCCGTCCCATCTTTTATGCCCTTCTGCCTCTCTCTGCTTCGTTCTGCCCCTCTCTCTGCTCTTGTCTCTAGGGATCTGTCTGGGTACCCCCGTCTCCTGTCTTCTCTGGTCCATCTGTCTGTCCTTCTGTCTGCCATCTCTTTCTGTCCCCCCATCTCCCTCTGTTTCCCTTCCAAGTATCTCACCACCCACCGCACCCTGCTTCAGAACTTCATTTGAGCCCACTTAACAGCACCCCTCAGTGAGCCCACTTAACAGCACCCCTCAGTGAGCCCCCTTAACAGCACCCCTCAGTGAGTCCACTTAACAGCACCCCTCAGTGAGCCCCCTTAACAGCATCCCTCAGTGAGCCCCCTTAACAGCATCCCTCAGTGAGCCCACTTAACAGCACCCCTCAGTGAGCCCACTTAACAGCACCCCTCAGTGAGCCCCCTTAACAGCACCCCTCAGTGAGGCCCATGCTTCTGGCTTCTGCCTCTGTTCGCTTGTCTCTGCCTCCCCTTGGGTGCCTATCCTACAGAGCCTCAGCTTCCCATGGCTCTTCTCTTCACTGACTTCAGCCCAGCCCATTACCGCCTCTCCTTAGACTCCATCTTGGTCTCTGTCATCCACATCGTTTTTGTTTTGTTTTGTTTTGTTTTGTCTTAGGAAGCACTGAGGCCTCACACACGCACACCACACAACCAAGGATGACCTTGAACTTCTGGTCCTCCTGCTTTCACACCCCGTGTGCTAGGATTGCAGGCTCTGCTGCCCTTGTGTGAAACGTGTGCAGTGCTGGGGATCAGACCCAAGGCTTCCTGTACGCTAGGCACTGACTCTACCACTGAGCGACATTCCCAGCCCACAACCACACGTGTGTGAACAACCCTCTGCCCTCTCTAAGCCCCTTCAAGGTCTCTCACCCTCCGTTGCTTCCTCCCAAGGGCAGAGCCTGAGCTTTGGCCTCTAGGAAGCCCGGGAAGGCCATAGAGTTGCTCTAACACACTGCCCGCCCGTTCTAGTTCATCCGTAATCCTCTTGCATCTTTTTAGGTCAGATGCCAGAGATGTAGCACAGGATCTCTCTCTCTCTCTCTCTCTCTCTCTCTCTCTCTCTCTCTCCCTCTCCCTCTCCCTCTCTCTCCTCTCTCTCTGCTTCCCCCTTTCTTCCTCCGTCTCTCTCCTTTCCTCCCTCCCTTTCTCCCTCTCTTCACAACCTTCCCTCTCCCTAGTTCTCTACCTCTCCTCCCCCTTCGCCTTCCTCCCTCCCTCTCTCCTCACTTTTATCCTCTCCCCTCCTCCCTTTCTCTCTCCCATCCTTTCATTTCCCCTTCTCCCTCTCCTCTTCCCCCATGCTCGCTCTCTCCCATCCCTCCCTTTCAGCAGTACTTGCTCTCTTTCTCTCCCTCAGTCTCGCTCTCCTCTCCTTCTTCCCCCATCTCCTCTCTCTTCCTCTTTTCCCTGCCCTCCTCCCTTCCCTCCCTGCCTCCCATCTCACTAAGCTGCTTTGACCAAGAGTTTAGAGAAAAATTTAGTGACCCAGGTGCCCCACCTCCTTTCCTCCATCATCCTGGCCCAGTTTCCTCTTTTCCCTTCTAGCCCACACCATGTGGGTGAGACCTCTGTGCCTGGGACATCTGGCTGAGGACATTTGGCTCCTTGCCTCTGCATCACATTCTGTGCTATGAGATGGTAACATTCCCTCCTCCCAACTCAGTCCTTCACCCCAGGGCCAGACTGCTGAGACACCCCAAAAGATAGGACAGTCCTTGATAGCACATACTTTGTTCATGACCAAGCCCATGTGAGCCACGTCTGTCCCATCTCATAGACAGACCACCAACTCCTGACCTGAACAATCCAGGACTTTCAGCGCCTCCCAACCCCACCCTGCTTCTGTCCCTAAGAACCCAGAACTGTTATTTCTGATGAGTCCGGGGTGCATTCCTGAGAACTCCTGGCTGACATCCTTTCATTCAGTCATTCAACACACACTCTCCTCCTCTATGACCAGGATGGACAGACATGTGGACACGACAATAAGGGAATTCTTGTTCTCTTGGATCTCGAGCCAGGGAGACAGAACCCTGGCTGATGATGACCCAGAGTGGCCAGAGCCAGACTAGGAAGGGCAGAAAGAGCTTGGCAATGAGATGAAGTGTTTGACCCGGATGAGGGAGGCCAGATGGGTTGCTCAGAGTAGTAGCCTGCAATAGCAACTTCAGGTGAGCTAGGGATGAGTGCAGAAGGGACCCCACAAGGGCCACACAACAAATGCTGAGAGATGTCTGCTGTAAGATGAGGCCGACATGTAGGAAACAGGAGAGAACAGTGTGGCAGTGAGAGATTAGGTTAGGCATGGCGGTGTGGATCAGTGCTTCCAACTACTCAGAAGGGTGGAATAGGGGATCACAGGTTTAAGGCCTGCACTGGTAACTTAGCAAGATCCTGTGTCAAAGTTTTAAAAAAGAGGCCGGGAGATGGTGGCGCACGCCTTTAATCCCAGCATTCGGGAGGCGGAGGCAGGCGGATCTCTGTGAGTTCAGAGATCAGCCTGGTCTACAGAGCTAGTTCCAGGACAGGCTCCAAAGCCACAGAGAAACCCTGTCTCAGAAAAAAAAAAAAAAAAAAAGTTTTAAAAACGAGGATTAGGGTATGGCTTAGAGTCAAAGACCCTGTCTCAAATCCCCCAGTGAGGAGCTGGGGTGCGGCTCAGTGGTAGAGGCACTTGCCAAGAATATACAAAGTCCTGCAGGGGTTCAATAACAAAAAACAAAAGCCAGTATGGGACTAAGGTTCTCTCTCTCTCTCTCTCTCTCTCTCTCTCTCTCTCTCTCTCTCTCACACACACACACACACACACACACACACACACACACTTGTCCGCGTCACAAAGCTAAACCTAAAACCTACCCAGCCTTTAACCTCAAAGAGAAGGGGTCAGAACACACAAAAAGTGCCTCATCTTAGTAATGGAGTCCAGAATTTCAAGTTCATTCCTTTTGGGTCTTTCATGATGAAGTGGAGAACCGGAAGGCAATAAATACTGACCCAAGGCCTCAAAGACTCCTGAGCACACCACTTCCCTTATTAAGCCAAAACACCTTCAGAGTTGGGGTGTCTGTAAAAATCTCTGGATTCTACTCCCAGGAGCAAAGCACAAACACAAATGTGGTGATCCTCATAATTATTATTGATTTATAACATAGCTGCACCAAGGTGTATTTTTTTTTGTTTTTTGACAAGGTTTCTCTGTGTAGCCCTCACTTTCCTGAAACTGGCTCTGTAGACCAGGCTGGCCTCGAGCTCACAGAGATCCACCTGCCCCTGCCTCCCAAGTGCTGGGATTATAGGCAACGATGTGCACCACCAACCCCAGGCTGCAAATGTACAATGTTAAAGTCTTTTTCTTCTATCATTTTTTTTACAGTTCTAAGAATTAAACCCAGGGCCTCAAGGTAGCTAGGCAGGTCCTCTAACACTGAACAACATCCCCAGCCCCAAAGTGTAAAATCTGAAATGTTACTAAATGATGTCATTTTTATTCTTCCTTAACATTAAAAGCAAAGCTTCAAAGCTGTAGAGATGGCTAACTGATTAAGAGCATTGGCTGTTTTTCCAGAGGAACCAGGTTTAGTTCCCAGCACCCCACATGGTGGTTCACAATCATCTGTAATTCCCATTCTCTGGCATATGACGCCCTCTTCCGGCCTCCATGAGCTCTGCAGGAACAAACACGCATGCAGGCCAGCACTTGTACACATAAAATAAAAGGGGGGTGCTGGAGAGACGACTCAGAGGTTAAGAGCACTTACTGCTCTTCCAAAGGTCATGAGCTCAATTCCCAGCAACCACAAGCATCCATAATGAGATCTGGTGCCTTCTTATAGCCTGCAGGCATATATGCAGACAGAACACTGTATTCACAATAAGTAAATAATAAAAATAAATAAATAAATCATTAAAAGCAAATCTCCAGGGCTAGAGAGATGGCTCAGCAGTTAAGAGTGCTTGCTGTTCTTTCAGAGGACCTGAGTTCAATTCCCAGCAACCACATCAGGTGACTCACACTTACCTATTACTCCAGTTCCAGAGGATATGGCACTCTCTTCTAGTACACACACACACGGATCTAAACAAAACACTAAGTGTTTTTAAACAAATAAAAAAATAGAAGCAAAGCTTTTGTTGTGTATGCCTTCCCGTTGCTCATTCTCACATGTGTGCATGCACACGTAGACACACACGCACACACACGCACACACCAGGCATGGTGGTGTCTATCTGTAATTCCAGCACATGGGAAGTTGGAACCGAAAGACAACTCAAAGAATCTCAAATTTAGCACTGGCTGGATTAGGGTTAAGAGCACAGAACCTATACTAGGTATAGTGGCGTATGTGTGTCACTTCAGTACTTGGTAAACTGAGGCAGGAGGATGGCAGGTTCATGGCCAATCTGGACTACAAAGAAAGGCATTGCCTCAAAACTGAAGGGAAAAAGACTTTGAACTCTGAAGCCAGACAACTGTGTTCAAAATGCCTGATGACTGACCTGGGGAAACAGCTGAGTTGGCAAAGCACTGGCCATGCAAATATGGGTACCTGAGTTCAAATCCCAGGAGCCACGGAAAGTAGAGTGCAGGAGGGTATGTCTGTCCTTACAATGCAGAGACAGGAGAATCTCCAAATGCTTGTGGGAGAGTTAGTCTGCCTACTACGTACGTGGGGGGAGCAAGACACCCTGTCTCAAATACAGTGAAAGGTGAGAGCCAGCCAACAGCAGAGGTTGTCCCCTGAACCATGCACGCACACAAGCTCTGATGATTCTGTACCGCCTGGGTGATCTGGGACAAGACCAGAGACCTACCTCTCAGTGTCCTTAGCAGGACATCAAGGCAACCGAGACATGGCCTGGCTCATATGTCAGGTGAACAAGCAGCATGTCCTCAGAACAGGGCCTGACGCTGAATGTTATGTAACCACCAGCTGTTATTATAGGACACTTTTTTCAGGGCGTAGCAGGGTCCCCCTTACCAAACTCCTGTGGACACCGGTGCAAGAACTACACGGAGGTAGATGCACACAGACTTCCTGAGTTGGAAGGAAGCCATACAGAGATGGTGACCCTGGCCACTTCTCCCACACTGTCCCTGGGGTTTCCCTTCCCCCCCAACCCTCATTCCCAGCCCAACCCACACCCTTTCCTATTTACACCCAGACAGAGGCAGCCTACAGCTGACTCACCCTTGGCCCACACCAAGCTATTGTTCTTGGGTGGAGGGGGACATAAAAGCAAGGACTATGTTGACAAGGGCAAGGGTATGGGTTTCGGCATCACGATTGGCCAGCAGACAGAGACACCCCAGACACATGGCAGATTTGAAGAGCCAGGCGGAGAGGTAGCAAGGGACAGGTCAAGCTTGGACAATGAGCACACTGCACTGAAGTGCTCCACAGACAATGACACTCAGCACTAAGTGTCCCAGACACATAGGCACAGGGCCTGGCACACATTCAAAAACCTTTTACAGACCCAGGGAGCTGACTGTACAAACCGAGTCCCTCCTGGGGACAGAGACATTCACACAGCACATTAGTGAGGCCCAGGCACAGCAACGCACTCATATTCTCACACGTATCAGGCATGGCCGAGGGTTCTTTGTCTGTGATGTGCACACTTGGAGGTGGGCACACCAGTACACCTGCCATCCAGACAGCCTCATACAGTCGCTTAAGTCTGCCTGTGTCCTCATATTCACGCAGCCAATAAAAGGATGGTGATGGGCATGCGTGCGTGCGTGCGTGTGTGTGTGTGTGTGTGTGTGTGTGTGTGTACAGATATTTTTGCACCACACGCTCATCACCCAGACAGCTTGGGAACACCTAGAGGCGTGTACGCCGCCTTTTTGTCTTGCTTTCACAGTTGCAGACGCACACAGCCAATGGACAGGGCTCATCACTGCACAGCCTCTGTGGCTTGCATGCCAAAGTCTTCTAGCTCCAAACCTTGTTACTCCAGTCGTGCTATATCACCGTTTTGGGGTGTGTGTGTGTGTGTGTGTGTGTGCATTGCTGGGGATTTAATCCAGGACTTTGTGCATACTAGGTAAGTACCTGACTGAGTTACAACCACAACCCTATTGGGGACTCTAGCCAGGGGCTCTACCACTGAGTCACACCCCCATCCCTTCACGGGGGGATTCTAGGCAGGTGCTCTACTGTTAAACTATACCCTCAGTACACAGTATGTTTCTAGTGCAATCTCTTGTGGTCTTTTGCTTAGATACACACCCAATACGGTCATCTTTCCAACCCTGCCCAAGTATACAGGTGCTCACATAGCTCCCCACAAGCAGCTTCACAGGTACACACAGATCGCAATGTCACCCAGAGTCTTTCTCCCCCTTGCTTACATTTCAGCATCACCCAGCTTCTCTCATCCCCTTTTCTAATATGCACATACAGAGAATGCCAGGTCAGACCCGCAGCCAGTACCTGGAGGATCTCCAGAACGGGAAACGGGCTACCCCACCCTCTATTTCTAGTCTCTCATTCTCTAAGAGCTGCCTTTGACCTCGCCTGCTCTTCCCCTAGCCACACCCCTGCCCTCCCCCACCCCCCAGACCTCCATCTGGTGGGTCTAGGCTGCACTCTGGCCTCTCTTCTGCCTTTCCCATCCCCCCACCTTCTCCCCATCCTCTCCAAAAGCCCAGAGGCCAGGCGCTCTAGGCTTTCAGCGGTTGCCATGGCAACCGAGCCTCATCCCTCATCCCCCTGGGGGTGGGCTGAGGACCCGGCCAGGCAGACCGATAAGGGGGTTCCAGTTACTGTGGCAACCGTTTCGGGCCTAAGCTCTCCACTTCTGGAAGGTTGGGGGGGGGTTGAGTGGCGAGTGAATGGTTGCCACAGCAACCAGGGGGAGCCCACAAGAACTGGGAAGAGGCAGCTGAGCCCTACCTCCCGTGCCCATGGCTGCTGTGGGCACTTAAGCATCATTCTTCCATCCCCCCAGGGTTGTTTTAGGGGAGGGAGGTAAGTACAGATTATAAAACAGGGATTCCATTCATTCTCTCAGCTAGCTACCCACCATGGATGGACCAGTCACCCACATCAACTGACCCAGACTCACTCCCCAATCTTTGCCTTTCCCTTATCGTGAAATGGAGCCAGTCTGTCAGGAATGTCTCCATTGCTGTCTGATGTGTGTGTCCCCCTCTGTCCCTTGCTACAGGAACTACAGAACGGGTATGCCTAGTACAGGGCACTGCAGAGGCCTTGAATGCCGTTCACAGCTTTATCGCAGAGAAGGTCCGAGAAATCCCTCAAGCGATGACCAAGCCCGAGGTGGTCAACATTCTTCAACCCCAAACTACGATGAACCCCGACAGAGCCAAGCAGGTCAGCTGGGTAATGACAGTGGGTTTCTGTAACGCTGGTGAGGTGCCTGCACAGTGGGTTCTCTAAAAGATCTGATAACGTCTGTCAAACGTCTGCCTGCTAGTGGGTAATACTCGGAAGTCAGCTCTAATCGTCTAGAAAGGGCTCTCCACTCCTAGGAGTGGGCTGGATTCAGAGGGATTGAAGATCAAGGCTGGCACTCCCATTCATCCATCCTTCCGGAGACACTCCAGCTCCTTTCTTTTCCACCCTTGTCTCTCAAAGCAACCTGCCTCCTACTTCCTGTGTTCACCGGAAGTGACTTCAGTGACAGCCCAACCCTTCCAGAATTTTAGAATCAGCCTCTTTATCTTCCTCCTCCCTATTACCCATTATGGGGATGTAGTGCTTTGCTTAGCGAAAGAGAGGAGCCGGTCCCCGTTCTACCCACTCGTCTAGAAAGGATGGAAACGAGAAGGCAGCCTCTTGGTTGCCTTAGTTACCAGGAAGCGGTGGTTAAGGGGTGTGGCAGAGAGCGGACCAATGGTTTCCTGAGTCTCTCCAGTTGCCATGACGATATGGCGCCTGGGACCAGTGGGCTTTTAGGATAGAACTCCTGATTTGCGGTCTTGGGCTTTTCGTTTGTTTTTGTTTCTTGAGACCCCGACCCAGTCGGAGGAGGGGGTGAGAGGAGGAACTCAGGGATAGATACTAGCGCTCCGGGTTTTCCCTTCATCCCCGTATACACGAGCTCTTGACACAAAGGAGAAGTGTCCAACGCAGACTAGTAGTGCGCCTGCGAGAGCTCCTTCAAGTCCATCTAGAAAGCAAAGGCTTTTTTTTAAGATGCTGGGATTTTTCAGCTCCGGTATTGAAGAGACATAAGCCTGAATTCTCCCAAATCCTGGGGGACATAGTGGGCGTAGAATCCAAAAAATGTTGCCGGCTTGAGGCTTCGTGCGTACGGCTGCTGTCCTTGGTGCTGAAGACGCCGGGCTCCTAGCGCCCCGCCAGGTCTCTCCAAAATGCTTTCACACCCAACAGAGGGTGAATTCTACACAGCTTAGAGAGACAGGACATGGCCCCTTTCCTCCGCTTTAGTGGTGGTCACAAGGGAATGGGATTCATCGAGTGTTTGTGGATGTTGCGTGGGAAATGGGATCAGTACAATTTAGGCCTTACACCCGCACAGGACAGTCAGATTTCATAACCAGGATCTATCCTTTATCTTGTCATCCCGAGGCTTCAATGAAAGAGTGCGTGGCTGGAGACCCAGGCTGCGGAGTCACATTTAAGTTAAATCCTCAGTTCTTCCCTACTAGTTTTGTGACCCTGAGCAGATGAAAAGATTGTGACTGCTCCTTGCCTGGTTTTTCACATTTGTAAAATGAGATTTATCATGGTATAGATTTGTGGATGGTGTTTAACACATTGGTGTGTGAAAAGCATTTATGTGGATGCCTAGTGCATAGAAAGTTCTAACAAAATGCACTGGGCATGGTGGTCCATTGTAATCTGGCATTGAGGTGGTGGAGGCAGGAAGATGGAGGAAGATTCAGGATATCTTGGGCTTCATAGCAAGACTCTACTCTCCCCTTCAAGAACAAAATGGTAGCTGCTCTGGCTTTTGTTTTGAGACAAGACCCATACTGTAGCCAACACTACCCTTGAACTCACAGTGATCCACCTGCCTCAGGCTTCTGTGTGTTAGGATTAGAGGCCAGAGACACCATATGTGGCTTTTTTTCCCTTTTGCTTTTTAGCACATTGTGTGATGTGCTTGTGTATATGGATTAGTTCACATGTGTACAGGTGCACACACACATGTGCATATGTGTGGGGGGCTGCCGAAGTTATGTCAGTGTCTCCCTCGGTCTGCCTTTTAGGAGGTGCTGGAGATTCAGACTCCTTGATGTTTTCACTGAGTCAAAACCTTTTTTTTTTCTTTTTCAAACATAGGGCAATTTTTGGAAATTAAGGTTGGCCTCAGATTCACTAGGTAGCCAATGCGACCATCACCCGCCTCCTGAGTGCTGGGCTTACAGATGTGCACCCCCATATCCTGTCTAAATAGTGCTAGAAATTCAGTCCAGAACTTTGTGCGTGCCAAGAATGAAATCTACCAACTGATCTACAGCCTCAATCCTGTTACAGCAGTTCCTTCCATGCAGCGTGCGTGTGTGTGCATGCGTGTGTGCGTGTGCGTGCGTGCGTGTGTGCATGCGTGTGTGCATGCGTGCGTGTGTGCATGCGTGTGTGCATGCGTGTGTGCATGTGTGTGTGCATGCGTGCATGTGTGTGCATGCATGCGTGTGCGTGCGTGTGTGTGTGTGTGCGTGTGTGTGGGTCAGAGGGCATCTTGTGGAAGTTGGTTTCTCTTTCCACCACGTGGGTTCCAGGGATAACACTCAAGTAGTCAGGCCAGGCGAAGCAAGCACTTTAACCCACTGAGCCTCCTCACTGACCCCTTTCAGGATGTGTTTTAATCAGGACCTCTATCCATCTCTTTGCTACTTCTGACTTGCTGCATTAGGTGTGTTTGCCTCTGTTTCTGCAGGTCTCCATTTCTCTTCTGTTATGGCACTGCAGCTACATCCACCCAGGGCTGCACGTGCAAATGTTTTCAAGATTCAGGAAGGGACTAAAAAGCATTGAGGGCTGTGTTCCTCTGAAGGGCAAACCCTCTTAACAGGGACAAAAATGCCCATGATCAGTCTCCCCAGTTCTTCTCCTGGGGAGCACAAACCATTTCCACACCTTGCAGACTTCTCTCTCTCTCTCTCTTTGTTTTTTTTGTTTGTTTGTTTTGTTTTTGTTTGTTTGTTTGTTTTTCGAAATAGGGTTTCTCTGTGGTTTTGGAGCCTGTCCTGGAACTAGCTCTTGTAGACCAGGCTGGTCTCGAACTCACAAAGATCCGCCTGCCTCTGCCTCCCGAGTGCTGGGATTAAAGGCATGTGCCACCACCGCCCAGCCAGACTTCTCAAAAGAAGATATGATTCTCAGGAAGCTGCTTTCAAAGGTTGATCCCATACTTAGTTTATTATTTTTATGTTTTTATTACTTTATTTTGACACAAGGTCTCACTCTATAGCCCAGGCTGGCCTGGAATCCCTATGTTGCTCGAGGTGGCCTCAAACTGAGGGTGGATCTTTCTGTCTTAGCTTTGAAAGCGCTGGCTTGCAGGCATAAGCCACCAGGCTCAGCTGCCACACAAAACTTTTCAGAAAATGCCTGGCAAGTGTTGGCTGCCACTGCTGGGCTGTCTGTCCTTGGTGTTTGGAATTTTCCATAAGCTTGTAAATCCCAGAGGCAAATAACAAGAGTTCTCCTAGCCTCTCAGCCCACCTCCAGGACGGTGTGTGCTCTATGACTCCAAGATTCTAGGCACGTCGGGTACCACCTGTAATCCCAGCACCTGGGATGCTGAGGCAGGAGGATCTCAAGTAGCAAGACCCCTGACTCAGAAAACTTTATTTATTTATTTATTTATTTATTTATTTATTTATTTATTTATTTATTTTTGGTTTTCGAGACAGGGTTTCTCTGTGGTTTTGGAGCCTGTCCTGGAACTAGCTCTTGTAGACCAGGCTGGTCTCGAACTCACAAAGATCCGCCTGCCTCTGCCTCCCGAGTGCTGGGATTAAAGGCATGTGCCACCACCGCCCAGCCAGACTTCTCAAAAGAAGATATGATTCTCAGGAAGCTGCTTTCAAAGGTTGATCCCATACTTAGTTTATTATTTTTATGTTTTTATTACTTTATTTTGACACAAGGTCTCACTCTATAGCCCAGGCTGGCCTGGAATCCCTATGTTGCTCGAGGTGGCCTCAAACTGAGGGTGGATCTTTCTGTCTTAGCTTTGAAAGCGCTGGCTTGCAGGCATAAGCCACCAGGCTCAGCTGCCATACAAAACTTTTCAGAAAATGCCTGGCAAGTGTTGGCTGCCACTGCTGGGCTGTCTGTCCTTGGTGTTTGGAATTTTCCATAAGCTTGTAAATCCCAGAGGCAAATAACAAGAGTTCTCCTAGCCTCTCAGCCCACCTCCAGGACGGTGTGTGCTCTATGACTCCAAGATTCTAGGCACGTCGGGTACCACCTGTAATCCCAGCACCTGGGATGCTGAGGCAGGAGGATCTCAAGTAGCAAGACCCCTGACTCAGAAAACTTTATTTATTTATTTATTTATTTATTTATTTATTTATTTATTTATTTATTTTTGGTTTTCGAGACAGGGTTTGTCTCGAACTCACAGAGATCCGCCTGCCTCTGCCTCCCAAGTGCTGGGATTAAAGGTGTGCGCCACCACCGCCCGGCTAGAAAACTTTTGTAAAAAAGTCTTTTTCTGAGCATATATTGTGATTCTGAGATTTGGTACCTTTTTCTTTTTCTTTTTTTTTTGTTTTGTTTTGTTTTGTTTTGTTTTGTTTTTCGAGACAGGGTTTCTCTGTGGCTTTTGGAGCCTGTCCTGGAACTAGCTCTGTAGACCAGGCTGGTCTCAAACTCACAGAGATCCGCCTGCCTCTGCCTCCCGAGTGCTGGGATTAAAGGCGTGCGCCACCACCGCCCGGCTTCTTTCTTTTTCTTTTCCTTTCTTTTGGTACCTGCCTTTTTAAATTCTTTTCACATTTATTGTGTGTGCGATGTTCATGCTGTGACCACATGTGGAGGTCAGGGGACAATTTGAGGGTATCATTTCTTGTTCTCTCTCTCTCCCTCCCTCCCTCCATCTCCCTCCCTCTTTTTTCCCTCTGTCCCCCTTCCCCTCTCCTGCTCCCTCTCTCCGTCCCCCATGTGGGTTTTGGAGCTCTAACTCAGGTTTGTCAGCTTTGGCAGCAAGCGCCATTTCCCAGGGAACCATTTCACTGGCCCAGCTTTGCCTCTTCAAGTATGTATTTCAGGACTCTGTGAGTCTGCCCCACGGATGTCAAATTCTGTGGTGCTCTAATCCCGTCCTGAAGGCGGCTGCCAGCTTCGTGGGGGTTTGTCTTGTGTGAGTTTTGCTGCTATTCTCTCTTCTTGTGTCTGTTTTGTTTTGTGTGAGTTTTGCTGCTATTTTTTCTTCTTTTGTCTGTTTTTGCCTTGAGGTAGAGTCTCACTCTGTATCTAGGACTAGCCTGCAGCTCGCTACGTAACCCAGGCTGGCCTGGAACTCTCAGCTCCCCAAGTGCTAGGATTACAGATATGGGATACTATGCCTGCCTTTCCTTTCTTTACAGTGAAAAATGTTCAAATCTTTCTTTCTAGTCTTTTGACGTGGAGATACATGGTAGCTGTATAACATGTGTTAGATTTGGCCACTTTGGGTTGGCAAGATGGCTCAGCCAGTAAAGGCTCTCACTGCCCAGTCTGACCACCTGAGTTGGATCCCCAGGACGATCATGAGACTCCTGCAAATAGTCCCTCTGATCACTGCCCTTGCACTGTGGTGCACACTAAACAAAAAATCCTTATAAAAGGTCAAAATATAATTTTAAGTGACTTAGCAGTTTCATTGTGTTTTACTCAGGATTCTATTGCTGTGATTAAAAAAAAAAAAAATTGGCCAAAAACAGTTTGGGAAAGGAAGGGTTTATTTGGCATACAAGTTTCAATCCACCATCAGAGGAAGCCAAGGCACGAATTTGACAGGAGGAATTAAAGCAGAAACCATGGAGGAACCCAGTTTACTGGGTTGCTCCCCATGGCTTGCTTAACCTTCCCAGGGGTGGCACCACCCACAGTGGGCTGGCCTTCCCACATCAATCATTAATCAAAAGACTGTCTCACAGGCTTGCCTTCAGGCCAGTCTGCCAGAGGCATTTTTTAACTGAGGTTCCCTCTTCCCAGATGACTCCAGCACCTGTCAAGTAGACTAAAGGGAAAAAGAAGGAGAGAGAGAGAGAGAGAGAGAGAGAGAGAGAGAGAGAGAGAGAGAGAGAGAGAGAGAGAGAGAGAGGCAGGAGGGTCTAAAGAGGGTGTTCAAGGGTAGATTGGGCAACTCAGGGAGACTCTCTGTCAAGAGCGTAAAAAGGAAAGCTGGGGTGTATGTCAGTGTCAGACAGTGTCAGAGCACCTGCCTAGCATGTGTGAAACCCTGGGTTGAACGTCCACTACCAGACCAAACAGGGCAGTATGCAGCTCAAAGCACATACATAGAGATGTGCATCTACCGCCAGTCAGTTTTAGAACACTTTCTCACCTTCCAAATTAATCCTTTTTTTAAGTTCTGTTTTAAAGACAGGGAATCACTATGTAGACCTGGCTGGCTGGACTCATGCAGATCCACTTGTCTCTGCCTCCCAAGTCATCATGCCCAGTTAAAATTGTCTTATGTGTTATTTTGTTTCTTTTTTGTTTTTTTTTAAGATTTATACAGTGTTCTGCCTCCATGTATGGTTGCAATGCACGCTAGAAGAAGGAACCAGAACACATTACAGATGGTTGTGAGCCACCATATAGTTGCTGAGAATTGAACTCATGACCTCTGAAAGAACAGGCAGTGCTCTTAACCTCCGAGCCATCTCTCCAGCCTTTGGTTCATTTTGCTGAGTTTTTGTTTATACTTGATTAGTTTTGCTTTGCTTTGTTTTGAGATGTTTCACTGCATAGCCCAGGCTACCCTTGAACTCATGATCCTACACAGCACTGAAGTCCCTGAATGCCAGTCATATGCCATCATGCCTAGCTTCCAAATGAAACCCTCAAAACACATTTCTACACTTACTCATTTATTGGACAAAAGAGTATGTGTGTTTATGATAATTGGTTCTCTCTCTCCTTCCACCATGTGGGTCCCGGGGATTGAACGCAGGTCCTCAGGCTTGGTGGCAAATGCCTTTATTCACTGAGCCATCTCACCAACTCTCTAAAGAAACCTTGATCCCCTCCCCAACTATTTTTTTTTCTTCTCCCTCCACTAACCTGCTTTCTGTGTCTGCAGATTTTCCTGATCTGGACACTAGTAGAAATACAGTCATAGAATATAAAATCTAGCAGGGTGTGGTGATGTAAGCCTGCAATCCCAGAACTCAGGAAGTGGAGGCAGGAGGATCAGAAACCCAAGATTGTCCTCAGATACATAGTGAATTCCAGGCCAGCCTGGACTATATGAAACCATGTCTTAAAAACAAAACAAATCTAGGGAGCTGGAGAGATGGCTGAGCAGTTAAGAGCAGTAGCTGCTCTTACAGAGGATCTAGGTTTGATTCTCAGCACTCATACATGGCTGTTCACAGCCATCTGTAAACTCCAGTCCAGATCTGATACCTTCTTCTGGCCTCTGCAGGCACCAGGGCACACACCACAGTACATATACATACATAAAAGCAAAACACCCATAGATATATATTTTTTTAACTGGAAGAATATGTGGCTAACCAGAGCCACCATCAAATTCTAGAATATTTCCACTATTTATGGAGCTGTCACTCCAAGCCCTGTCTCCTAACTCTGGCACCCACTAACCAGGTTTTTTATGTTTCATGTGAGCAAAGGCCATAGCAGAAAATCGAGTGTCTTCCTCCATTGCTCTCTGCCTGAGGAAACCCTTGAGAGTCTATTACCAAAACTAGAAGCTCACTGGATAGGATGACTGACCATCAAGCTCTTGGGGTCTGTCTAACTGCCCACCCAGTGCTGGAATTGCAGCAAGCAGAGCCATGTCTGGCTTTTTAATAGGTGCTGGGGACGCCAGGCAGTAGTGACGCACACCTTTAATCCCAGCACTCAGAAGGCAAAGGCAGGCAGATCTCTGTGAATTCAATTCCAGCCCGATATACATAATGAGTTCCAATATAGCCGGAGTTAAATAGTAAGATCCTGTCTCAAAAAAAGATTTTTTTAAGCTGGGCAGTGGTGGTGCACGCCTTTAATCCCAGCACTCAGGAGGCAGAGGCAGGTGGATCTCTGTGAGTTCAGAGACCAGCCTGGTCTACAAGAGCTAGTTCCAGGACAGGCTCCAAAACCACAGAGAAACCCTGTCTCAAAAAAACAAAAACAAAAAAAATTTTATTTTTTGATTACATGTAGGTCTGTGTTCTGCATACAGATATGTGCATATGAATGCAGGTGCCTATGGGGACCACAGGTGTTGAAGCCCCTGGGGCTGGAGTTATAGACAGTTGTGAGCCCCCTGATGTGAGAGCCAAACTTCAGTCCTCTGATAGAGCAGCAAGTGTTCTTAACCTCTGAGCCAGTCTCCAGCTCCCTAACCAATTTCTGTGAGTGTCGATTTGCATATTCCAGACAGCCATGTAAATGAAACCATGTGACCTTTTACCACTTCCTGTTTTCTAAGAACACCCATGTTATAGCAAGTGCTATGTCAGTAATTCGTATGTATTTCTTCCTAGTACTATTCCAGTACATGGATCCACCTCACATGTTGTTGTTCTCACACAACTTTTTAAAATACTGAAGACTGGGCCACAGAGAGGGCTCAGTAGTCAAATCACTGGCCCTACGAGGCTAACAGCCAGAGCTCTAGCTGTGAAACCCGCATAGAAAGGTGAACACAGCGGGGTGAGTGCCCGCTGACCTCCACACACACACACAATTAAACAAACCGTAGTTAGAAGAGGTGTGTATAGTTGAGCACTGGTGTGGCAGAAGCAGACAGATCTCTGTGAATTCAAAGCCAGACTGGTCTACACAGCAAGTCCAAAGACATCAGTAAGACTCTATCTCAAAACAAAATAAAGATGGGGAAGAAACTAAATACAAGAGAAATAAAAGGAAGGCAATTTGTTGTAAGTGAGGAGAATTTTAACATGTAAATATTCAGGTGGGACCATATTGAAAAAATGATGATGTCACCTCAGTTCACACCCAGACTCCAGAAAGCGATACAGTCACAGTCACAGAGGGATCCCCAGACTTCTTTTGGTTTTTTTTGGGGGGGGGGTTGTTTTGAAAGTCTCACAGTGTAGGCCAGGCTAGCCCAGAACACACCATGTAGTCCAGGCTATTCTTGAACTCCTGGTCCTCTGAGCATACTGGGTGTGCCACAACTACAGATATTCAAAACCTTGCTAACCTTTAAAAAAAAAAACAAAAACTGTGCCTCCAATCACAAACACATTCTGAGGCCCTGGTCGGATTTTGAGGTATGGACTGTGATCTAAGAGTTCGAGGAGGAAATTGACAGGGAGGATGAGGCAGGAGGATCATGAGTTCCAAGCCAGCCTAAGCTGAAGAGGGGAGAGGAGAGGAAATGGGAGGGGGAAAGGAAGGGAGAGAAATTTGTAAAGATTTGAAGCTTTGGGGGAGACTAGGAGCCAGAGCACACAAGGACAGAAGTTGGGAGGGGCGGCGCAGGTTTGAGGAAGACACAGATGGGCTCCCAATGGGTACACCATTAATAAACCTTTACCTGCCACGGAAGAGGTGACATTAGCCGTCCTAGGGACGTGGGGCAGGGTGGCTGAGGGACTCCTAAACTCTGGAATTTTGTTTGTTTGTTTTCCCCTGAGATGGGGTCTTGCTTATGTATATATATAGCTCAGGCTGACTTCAAACTTAGCATCCTCCTGCCTCCATCCCCTGGAGTGCGGCGATTACAGGCAGGCAGCACTACACCCTGCTGGGTATTTCCAAATTTTCCTTTAGAAACCAGTAGGGCTATCCTGACGTTTATCAGGGGACTGCAGTGGGCCTGATGATGGACCCTGGAAGAAAGATAAAACATTTTAAAAAAATGGATTTGAGACGGCTGCGCGCCCCGTTCTCCCCCGCGCAGACTCTCTCTTTCTCCCCCACGCAGGCTAAGCTCATCGTCCCCAACAGCACGGCGGGACTGATCATCGGTAAGGGGGGAGCGACCGTGAAGGCGGTGATGGAACAATCCGGCGCCTGGGTGCAGCTGTCGCAGAAGCCCGAGGGCATCAACCTACAGGAGCGCGTGGTGACCGTGAGCGGCGAGCCCGAGCAGGTGCACAAGGCCGTGAGCGCCATCGTGCAGAAGGTACAGGAAGACCCGCAGAGCAGCAGCTGCCTCAACATCAGCTACGCCAACGTGGCGGGGCCCGTGGCCAACTCCAACCCCACCGGCTCGCCCTACGCCAGCCCGGCAGATGTGCTGCCCGCCGCGGCCGCCGCCTCTGCCGCTGCCGCTTCGGGTCTGCTTGGCCCCGCAGGGTTGGCGGGCGTGGGCGCCTTCCCCGCCGCGCTGCCCGCCTTCTCGGGCACCGACCTGCTGGCCATCAGCACGGCGCTCAACACGCTGGCCAGCTACGGCTACAACACCAACTCGCTCAGCCTTGGCCTCAACTCGGCCGCCGCCTCGGGCGTCCTGGCCGCTGTGGCCGCGGGCGCCAACCCCGCCGCCGCCGCCGCTGCCAACCTCCTGGCGTCCTACGCGGGCGACGCCGGGGCGGGGCCGGGAGCGGGGGCAGCACCGCCGCCGCCACCGCCCCCTGGAGCGCTGGGCTCCTTCGCGCTGGCCGCGGCCGCCAATGGCTACCTCGGTGCGGGCGCGGGGGGCGCGGCTGGAGCGGGGGGCGCGCCCCTGGTGGCCGCCGCGGCTGCGGCCGGGGCTGCCGGCGGCTTCCTGACGGCCGAGAAGCTGGCGGCCGAGAGCGCCAAGGAGCTGGTGGAGATCGCGGTGCCCGAGAACCTGGTGGGGGCCATCCTGGGCAAAGGGGGCAAGACGCTGGTGGAGTACCAGGAGCTGACGGGTGCGCGCATCCAGATCTCCAAGAAGGGCGAGTTCCTGCCCGGCACGCGGAACCGGCGGGTCACCATCACGGGCAGCCCCGCGGCCACGCAAGCCGCTCAATACCTCATCAGCCAGCGGGTCACCTACGAGCAGGGGGTGAGGGCCTCAAACCCACAGAAAGTGGGATGAGGCCTGTGGTGTGCGTCCCCACCCCCTCCCGCTCCTCTTCCCTCCTCCTCCTCTCCCAACTCCCGCCAGACTTCAGCTTGGTGTGACTCCTGCTTGGTTTGGGATGGGGCTGGGGTAGGCCTGGCTGCACCCTCCGTTCTGGTAGTCATAGGCAGGATTGAGTGGCGGCTGGGGAGGGGGCTTTTGAGCCCCCTTTCCAGCCTTGAACTGACCCCTCCTCCCTCCTTCCCTGTGCTTGACTGGGCCTGACCCGCCTCTCCCAGGGACCAGGTCTATGTGATATCTGTATATATTGCATTTTGTTGATTTTAATAGAAAACAAAGCGTTATTTTCTCTTTCTTTCCCTCCTTTTTTTTTCCTTTTTAACTTTTTCTTCTTTTTTTGATAAGGATTCCCCCCTCCTTTATAAGATTTTTGTTGACATATGGGAGGAGGGGAGGGAGCCTCCAGATCACCTGGAATGAGGTGACTCCCCCAGACACAACATCCTGCCTCTCTGATTGCAGTTCCAGATCCTGGGAAAGTGACGCAAGTAGAGGCAGTCATCCAGGAGTCAGATCTGAAAAGAGGGGTTTGGAACATAGCGCCCCCCCCCGCTCCGCCCCAGGAGTCCCACGTTTCCGAAGCTCCACTATCTCCCTGCCGTACTCCCTCGGGTGGAAGTGGAACTTTCTTCCTTAAGCAGATGTGTTCCTGCTGGAAATGATGCCAGACGTGGGTTCTGTAAGCCGCGGTGTTGAGAGGCGCAGGAGCAGCCGCTGTGGCTTCTCGTGGCTTTTCCTAGAGAAACGAGGGTCCCTGTTGTGATGTCACTGAATCAAGTATTTATGGGGTGCTTCCAGTAACTCCCTATGATGTCATAGGAAGTATTTCCTCAGAGGCCGCTTCCTGTACTGGTGAGAGAAAAATCACATCCTGTGAGGTCACAACAAAACCCCTTCCCAAAAAGTCACTTCCGTGATGCCAGAGGCAAAGGCATGTACTTCCTATGGAATCTCGAGGTCACTTCCTGTGGCATCATCGGGATGAAGCATGCGCTTCCTGAGTTGGATAGTGGCCAGTCCCTTCATCCCCCTCCTCCTCCCACACTCTTTAGTGGGTGTTGGCCCTGGGGGAAGGGAATCCCTAGAAAGAGACTGAAGGATGGAACTTGGATCTAATGTGGAGGATTCTGAAGAGGAAAAAAAAATACTGTCAGGGTCATCTGCATCCACATTTACCATCCCTGAACTTGCCTTGCCAGGCACGCATGGGAGATGAAGCTAGTGAAACTGACTGCTAAAGATCCCCTCCCTTTCCCACTCCTGCCTTTTGTGTGCATGCCTGTGTCTACGTGGCTTCATTTCATTGATGGATGAGCCAAATGTATGGTGGCTCTGTCAGGCCAGTGTGATCTGGTGTAGAGTTAAGTGAGCCTTGCAAAGCTTAGGGTATCTTGGGCTGAAATGCCTTGAGTGGTCTGATGAATTCAATTGGCTTGGTGGCTTCCAGGGAGTTGGTAGATGTTAGCAGTGTTTGCTAGGTTGGAAATGTTCAGTGTGCTCAACCTTAGGCTCTGAAGAACTAGAAGATTCTGATGAAAATGTGACAAGCCGGGCTGCCCTGAGAGCTGTTTGGGAGTGGCTCACTTTGCGTGGTGGCTCTGATCAACTGCAAAGACTGATGTCAGGGCCTGAAAACCCTGTAGGCTAGGATTGCTGAGACATGCCTGTCCCCGCCCATCTCCCCATCCCTGTTGGAGAACACCTTCAGTTCCTCCAACCCCAAGCAGGGTCCTCAGAACCCTGGCTCCATCATCAGCATCTCGGGGGGAGGGGTACCCTATGCCTACTCCCTCCTCCATCTGCCCTCCTAGGTCTTCCAGACCCTGCTCTCCTCCATGGCTTTGGGGATAACTGGCCTCCTTATTTCTATCCCTACAAATGAGCGGAGGAGAAAAGCCACCCAGACAATGCCTACCACTGAAGCCTGGGAGGCCCCTACCCTGTGCAAGAGAGCCACCCCCCAAATCAAAATGTGAAAAATCCCTAGAAAGCAATAGCCTTCAAGGTACCTCGCACTGACTCCCCCCTCCCCCAGCCCTTCCACCGGAATGGGAGGCTAAAGCTTGGGCACTGGGGTGACTTTTTCCATGTCCTCATCTCCTCAGTGAAGGGCAGGCCCCACTTTCCTCACACACACCCCATCCCCCACCTCTTATCGCTGCTGCCCCCTACCCCTAATCTCCACACTGAGCCCAGATGGAGATTTTAGTGCCAAAACAATTCTTGATACCACTTTGTACATATCTTCTACAGCTAGGGGCTGTTGGGATTGGAGGTGGGGGCGGCCCACAGGGCCATTGCTCCCCTCCACCTCTTAAATGACCTTACAGTATTTCATAGTAGCTCCACCTGCATGTGGGTAGTAATGTATCTAGCTGGAATATCCCCCCTGTAAAGCCCTCAAGCCCTATGAGGAGGGGAAGGAGTGGGATGAAGCAAGATCTGGGTTGGGTGGGTGGGTCAGAAAGGCCATTTGCAACTCATTTGCATCTTCCCCTAGACGGCCTGCTTTCTGGGAGCCTGCTGGCTGGAGTCTGGGTTCTGCACTCCTCTCACGCAGACATAGCTCTGAAAAGCATCCTCTGGGGTGTTTGTGTGACATGCCGGTCCCTATTAATTTCTTGGGGATCCCTCAACCCACCAGCCCGGGCTATCCGAAAGGTAGTTTGCTAGCTTAGGAAGGAGGTCTACTTAACATATTGCTGTGTGAGGAGCCACATACCTTCCCCCCATTTTACCCTGGGGAGTTCCATCCATCCTCTTCCCTATCCCTTGAAAGCCCTTCTGCAGTCTGACCTCAATCTTCCTGTGCTGTAGTTTGTCCAGACAGACACAGATGCGGACCAGGGATGGGAATTACTTTGAAAATAATAGTAACAAAACCCATTGCCTCCTCCTCTACCCATTAGCCAGTCAGATCTCAAAGAATCTGAGCGGCCTCCTTGCACCCCCACTCTTCAGCACCCAGTAGGTGCTTAGTAAATAAGTGTTGCCTGTTCCTCACGTCCCTCCAGCTTCCCCCAGCGTTTCTCTATTTCTCTGGCTCCCTATGGCCCACTGGGTTTTCCTCCTGTGGTCCCCTCACCGTTCTCTGTCCTGTCTCTATCTTCTTCGTCTGTCTGTTTTCTTCCCCTCCTAAATTCTCAACACTTTCATTTCCCCTTTAAAATCAAAAAGTGCCAAACTTCCTTGGAACTGAGCCGATCTGGGGTGGGGGGGAGGATCTTCGATGCATGGGAGGAGAATACCTCTTTTAGAGGAGGCCCCTTAAGAGGCATAGAGAACACCTGCGGATGCTGAGCTAAATTGGGTCCCCTTCCTTGTTCCTCTCACCCTGAGTTTTTCTTAGAATCTTTATAAGAAAAAAAGAAAAAGAAAAAAAATACTCATTTTCAACTAACCCCTACTTTTTTGGATTCCCCTCCCCCAAATTCCACCAGCCAAGGAAAACCCCTTTTGCCTCTTTCTGGGCAAGTCTATAGAAATTGGGGAGGGGGAGAAACAGACCCCATCTTCTTCTGCCAGCCCAAGGGGGTGGTTGTTGGGGAGGGACCTCAAAGCACTTACGACAAGAGGGGTTCCAAAGTGCCAAATTCACCTTCTCCATCCTGTCTCGGGCAAGGCTCTGAGCCAGCCTGCCCAATCATCATCTTTGCCCTCTCCTAGTCAGGAGGAAATTTTGCCGCAATAATTAGCTGGGCAGGGATCGGAAGACAGTGATTTTTGCCATCTCTGTACTGGACTTGTAGGTGGAAATTATAGGAGCTTGGCAAGAGTCGTCTTACAGATGGTTGGGAACCTATACTCGGAATATTACGGTACCACTTGTTTTCCCGCGGTATTTTTTTCTCTACTCTTAGCCAACCAAATCCCTTGGAATCCCATTCCTTTCTGTTTCTTCTACCCGTCCGTCTGTCCTCTGTTCCGTCACATCCCGCCACCCACCCCACCCGCGCCATTCTTATTATTTTATGGTTGATTGGTCTCCAGCTGTTTGACAGAGGAGAGGAGGTTCCCCTTTGCATGGATTCTTGCTGTTCGAGCCCAAGATAAAAGGTTAATTTGCAAAAGCGTTCACCAGAGCAGCGGTGAAGGTGGCAATCTAGGCGTCCAAGATGCTTCACTAGGTTGCACACCTGTCACTTGTCCGACAGCCAAACAGGCCTTCTCTGTGCCCAATGCATCTGCCCCCAAGCGCCATCCGGAATCGAGGCCGGCCGTCGTCAAAGGCTGAATTGGTTGTCACCAATTGCAATACCCAGGTCGGGGCCAGAGAAGCCTGGTTTACGCTCTGTGGAGTCTGGACACCCAGCCTTGCTGTCGGGAGCCCTCCCCACCACAGTCAGCGCGGTCTTGATGTCCCAGCTGGTGTGTCGGTCCATCGGGTCCCCACTCTCACCAGAGGCCTAGACCCCTCGCTGAGTGGCAGGAGGGAGGGTCTCTGTGGAGGGTGGTGGTGGTTGTGGTGAAGACTGTTGGTTTTTAACCCCTTTTCAGCCAGTCTAGGACATTCGTCTCCTTAGAACTAATATAGGGAGACCCTCCTCCTTCCTCCCCCTCCCCAACCCTCCTCCCACTCCCCAAAACCACCAACCTTTCATCTTCTAAGTGACTCCATCACCACCGGCCACCACTGGAACCTGCGGCCTCATTGCTCCAGCCCGCCCCACTCGACCGTCAGACTCGCTCATCGAACTCTTTTGATTAACCCTTTCTGTGTTCATCCCACGGAAAACTTGTGTGTCCGGCAGGGAGGCCAGGGGGGATGCTAGGGGCAGTTGCTACCTTTCCTCCATCTCCTCCCAGCGCCCATGCCTCCCCATCCCATGCCCCCATCCCCATCCCTCACCCCTTAGGATCCGCCTCCCCTGGGGGCCCAGGGATCCTCTAGAAATATACCTTTGCTGTTTGGCTTTGCACCCTTTAAAAGGCGGGCCTAGGGGGCGTGGCCTCCCCAGCCGAGCGCTCACTCCGACCGTCCTCCCCGTTGCCCCCACCCACTCCCCACGCCTTCATTGTAAATAGTCACTTTTGTACTTGGTTTGAGCCAGGCGACGTGGGGAGTCTTTCTCTCTCTCTCTCTCTCTCTCTCTCTCTCTCTCTCCCTTTTCTTTTTTTATTTGTGTCGGCATCTCAGCTACTGGAGGCATGGTCCACATCCCAGGTCGATTTGGGAGGAGCCCAAGGTGTGTCCCGCCAAAATGCTAAGGATTTCGAGATAACAGTATTAACTCCGACAGGCCTGGGGTGCACAGGTCCCCCGACCGTAGGCAGGAAAGTAAGG